ATTGTATGACAGTCTCTGACAGAGATAATTGTATGGCAGTCTCTGACAGAGATAATTGTGTGGCAGTCTCTGACAGAGATAATTGTATGACAGTCTCTGACAGAGATAATTGTATGGCAGACTCTGACAGAGATAATTGTATGACAGTCTCTGACAGAGATAATTGTATGGCAGACTCTGACAGAGATAATTGTATGACAACCTCTGACAGAGATAATTGTATGGCAGACTCTGACAGAGATAATTGTATGACAGTCTCTGACAGAGATAATTGTATGGCAGACTCTGACAGAGATAATTGTATGACAACCTCTGACAGAGATAATTGTATGACAGTCTCTGACAGGGATAATTGTATGGCAGTCTCTGACAGGGATAATTGTATGACAGTCTCTGACAGAGATAATTGTATGACAGACTCTGACAGAGATAATTGTATGACAGTCTCTGACAGAGATAATTGTATGGCAGTCTCTGACAGAGATAATTGTATGGCAGTCTCTGACAGAGATAATTGTATGGCAGTCTCTGACAGGGATAATTGTATGACAGTCTCTGACAGAGATAATTGTATGACAGACTCTGACAGAGATAATTGTATGACAACCTCTGACAGAGATAATTGTATGACAACCTCTGACAGGGATAATTCCTTATTTGTATGACAACATCTGACAGGGATAATTCCTTATTTGTATGGCAACATCTGACAGGGATAATTCCTTATTTGTATGGCAACCTCTGACAGGGATAATTCCTTATTTGTATGGCAGTCTCTGACAGAGATAATTGTATGACAACCTCTGACAGGGATAATTGTATGACAACATCTGACAGGGATAATTCCTTATTTGTATGACAATCTCTGACAGGGATAATTCCTTATTTGTATGACAACCTCTGACAGGGATAATTCCTTATTTGTATGACAACCTCTGACAGGGATAATTCCTTATTTGTATGACAATCTCTGACAGGGATAATTCCTTATTTGTATGACAATCTCTGACAGGGATAATTCCTTATTTGTATGACAATCTCTGACAGGGATAATTCCTTATTTGTATGACAACCTCTGACAGGGATAATTCCTTATTTGTATGACAATCTCTGACAGGGATAATTCCTTATTTGTATGACAAACTCTGACAGGGATAATTGTATGACAGACTCTGACAGAGATAATTGTATGGCAGTCTCTGACAGAGATAATTGTATGACAGTCTCTGACAGAGATAATTGTATGACAACCTCTGACAGAGATAATTGTATGACAATCTCTGACAGGGATAATTCCTTATTTGTATGACAATCTCTGACAGGGATAATTCCTTATTTGTATGACAAACTCTGACAGGGATAATTACTTATTTGTATGACAACCTCTGACAGGGATAATTCCTTATTTGTATGACAACATCTGACAGGGATAATTGTATGACAATCTCTGACAGGGATAATTCCTTATTTGTATGACAACATCTGACAGGGATAATTGTATGACAATCTCTGACAGGGATAATTGTATGACAATCTCTGACAGGGATAATTGTATGACAATCTCTGACAGGGATAATTCCTTATTTGTATGACAACATCTGACAGGGATAATTGTATGACAATCTCTGACAGAGATAATTGTATGACAATCTCTGACAGGGATAATTCCTTATTTGTATGACAACATCTGACAGGGATAATTAACCAGAATAAATCATGATGTTACCCTCATTGTATAATTATGACTTTCCCTCTAATTTTTAATTCTATTAAATTATTAAAGATTATGGAGAAACAAATATGACAGTGAAAACATAACAAAATCTTTACTTGTACATCAATTTTTATGTCATTGTGTTGTAGTCTATCACAGTGATGTCCTTACACTTGCTCTGGATGGTATTAGGAGACTTTATGGTCTAAGGACCATTAACCTGATCCAGTTAAACATGAACACAAGTTGATGATTACGTTACATAACTGTGTTAGTATTTTAGTGGCCTTCTGTGGGCTGTGAAAACTATTCCTGACCTAAACAGAACTATATTCTGCCAGTAAATTCTAATACATACATACTAAAGTGAGGTGGATATCCCTAATCAGATTATATACCTATTACTATAGACAGGATGACGTCAGCCACCATCTCTGTCACTAAATTTAGATCCTTTTTTCTACAGTGGTACCAATCAGAAGGGCAACTCTAATATCATAAATGTTTTGTGGGACACAAACCAATAAAGATTTCATTGATAAATATAGCACAATTAAACTGCTTACACTAATAGGTATTTGTGGATTAAAAATACACACAAAATCTTTAAAAAATAAATCTCTCACAAAAATGAACGATTTTACAGTATACTGTTTAGATTTAATTAATCATCAGTGCTGTTTCAACTCAGGGAACTGAAATACTTACAGATCAAATCTTTCAATGATATTTAACTGTGGATCTTTTTAGCATCACGAATGGAACTCAAAAAATAAAAATAATAGTATAATATTTTCTAGTGTTCTGATTTTTGGATGATAAAGAGAGAGTGAAAAAAATAAGGTATTGTTACCATAAGCATGATATCAACTATTTCTGTGTCTCGGATACTCTGTGCTAAATTTTACTATCTTGTCCCATCGGCATTGTACTTTGACATGACATTAAATTTTCACATGACACTAATATATTTTGTTTGTTTGGAAGTTATTTTGTTTATGATATTACATATAAAGATTTGGAGACTTGTGGGGTTATGCTAGATTTAATAGGATACATGTGAAGTACAATGTTTGGATTAGATATTTTTTTTCAGTTGATGACTGAACAAATTGTCTCAGCCTTGGGCATAAAGACAGGTCCACTTGTACCTTAGTTGGGATTTAGTTATAGAGTCTTAATTTGACATTGGCCTCGCTCAAATTCCAGTATTATAGGCTAATATAAGGTCTATAATATTTTCCCTGACGTACAAAGTTTTAGTTACTTTGGATAAGAATGCATTTTATCCAATTTTGTCAGGGAACACTATGCAGTTGGTAAACAATAAAACTCACTGATATCATAAATCATGGATGAGCTGATCTAGATGATCTGGTTTCAAGCCGAAATTATGATTGGAATTTCAATTTTTGTAAAACTTATCCAATAAAAGGTCGTTTCACCAGAAGATGCTATTACATTGTCCAATCACCTGAGGGGAAGGTCAGATAATCATGTTTATAGTGTACTTCATCATTCTCATTGGTCCCTCAGCTGTCACATGACTCTGAAAATGTGTCCCCAGGTCTACTCCAGCCAATCCAGGCACATATGTTCCATATCAATTTTAGAATAACAGGCCAAATTGATGGACAGCAAGAAATATCTACGGAATCATCAATTAGCATTGAAACACTGAAAGCTGCATGGAGAGATATAATAACTGGTCCAAACAGATTGCAAGTACATCTACATAAATACCTTACATGTATTTATCAATCAGCCCATGTCTGGTAATAAGCCCACCCAAAAACTGGGGAAATGTTTAAAAATGATAAACGAATACTATATCATTGTCCTGTGATAAGCCCAGTAAACTCTGACTGTATGTAAGAGAATAATGTGTTGCCTCCAGGGGTTGATATCAGGATAAAGGCAGTATGTATCGTAGGTATACCATTATATTGCTTTCTCAGCCATCAGCTTGCATATCTTCTAGGTGTCCAATTGTCTAAGATTGTAAAAAGGAGCTCCACATGAGCTTTAAAATATATGCTAGTATATGTCAAATCAATAAATTTCTTCTATATAGTAGGGACCAAAGATGTTAAAGTTAAAAAATAGAATATAACAAACACATAAATAGACAGAAGGGGAGATAACCACACAGATTGATTAAATTAATAATCAGTACTGCTTTTCATAAGAATCTGGATGTAGTTTGCAGGGTAACACATAGTGAAATTATAAATCTACAGTCTCTGCACACAACTGAGCAGGGGTCAATAACATTTCATTTCCTTCTCAGTGCTAATGAGTTTCCGGCAATAGAGAAATGTAATTTTAAAGTTTGGGTTGAAATGAGCAATGAATTGACACCATTCCTCATTTACTCAGGATTGTACATCAATGCCAAAACGAAGGAACTGAAGACAGGCTCAAATGCACTGCTATTCTCTTTAAAGTCTTTGATATAAAACTTGGTAGTGGTACAGCGCACCTTCTTTTATAAATCTTAATTTTCAGTTCATTTGTATTGTACTTTTGCAGTATACATTCATCTTCTCACAAGTCTTCAGTAGAGTGATTTCCCAGCTCAATTGCTGTAAACTTTATAGGACCAGAAAATTAATTTACAATCAATCGGCACAAAAAAGTCCTCCTCTGTTACAATTCAGGCCTACAAAGTTTGACCCATGACACTGCAGGTCAGACAGATAAGATTGGGGGAGTTGGATGGAGAGTGCAGAGGTCAGAGGTGAGAAAGGTCAGACGATCTGATAATATAGCCCCATATGGGATAAGGATGTATCACCCATCCCCTTCTGTCTCAATAACATTACTTCAGTTTTATCTACAGGCAGCAGGGCAGAGTATTAAGGGAGTAATAGTCAGTGTATTGATCAAGCCAAGAACTGGGTAATGTACGTCTTCAACGGTATGACTAACAGGGGGACTTCAAATACCATTTACAACATTGCCACTTAAACTTTTGTCATCCCAGAATTTACTAAATATCTGTGTTATGATTCTTGTAATATGATAGAAAAACTTGTTAAAATACGTTGCCACAAATAAAATTTGTAATCTTCCAATTGGAAACTCGATGTTCCCATAATTAATCAAAGATTCAGTCATATGACCTTACAAGGATATTTACAACTTATTTCCCTAAAAGTCAACTTTTACCTGTATTTTTGATTAGTATGTAATTGTTTCAATGTGGGACTTTTGGCTGTACATTTCAGCAATAAATAAACATTGTATTCCCCACCAGATATACCCGCCATTTTGTCTGGCTTACCTTTAGACCAGATCCAGCACAGGCAATTCCAAGAGCCATGGCAGCTCCAAAACGTACATGTGGGTTGTAACTCTCGGACAATAGTGACACCACACTGGGACATTGTTCAGGAGTTCTGTAAAATGTAACAAAAACATAAACATGAAAAGGTGTACAGATATTATAAGGACTAGTATTAACAGGTGCTTGCTAGGTGATTAAACACTGTAGTACCCAGATATGAAAACACTAAGAAGATGTACAGATATTATAAGGATTAGTATTAACAGGTGCTTGCTAGGTGAATAAACACCGTATAGTACCTAGATATTAAAACTCAAGACAATGTACAGATACTATAAGGACTAGTATTAACAGGTGCTTGTAAGGTGACTAAACACTGTGTAGTACCTAGATATTAAAACTCAAGACAATGTACAGATACTATAAGGACTAGTATTAACAGGTGCTTGTTAGGTGACTAAACACTGTATAGTACCTAGATATTAAAACTCTAAGACGATGTACAGATATTATAAGGACTAGTATTAACAGGTGCTTGCTAGGTGACTAAACACTGTAGTACCCAGATATTAATAAGGATTCTAACATTAACAGTACACTGAACATACTGGATGCCTGCTCTAGTCCTGACAGATGACATAATTAAATAACACCAGGATTCTGATCCTGTTTGTAGATAGCTCGTGCTGTATCATTAAGAAACAGACAAATAATGTGATTGATTTATAAATATAGTGGACAAGCCACACATAGAGAAAATTATTAAATCATGTGATAGGTGGGACGGTAATAGTTTTTATCACAATTAATGTGTCTGGAGCTGAGGTTTAACATACAGTTAATAAAACAAACATTTACACCATACAGTTAATAAAACACAAAAGTTTAGACCATACAGTCAAATGTGTACCACAAAGAACTCTATTTTATATCTTTACATACAACAAAATATTTCTCAAGACAATACTTTAATTGTTAATATTGTAAAGAAGTAGAAGCTTAATAAGATATGTTTATAATCAAACAGATAAGAAAATCCATTTGATAATGTACAAAGAAGCCAATTGAAAGATAATTTAAATTTTAAAGTAGCAACAATCCCATTATCCTGACAGTTCTTGCATGAGAAGCTGTCTTAAGACGGGAAAATGTCTGTAACACATGAATGTCCCTGGCCTCTTGTTAATCTGAAGTATCTTTTCTGATGAATTTGCAAAAGTTGCTAGACATGACCTTTCACCCTTTAACTTTAAATGATAGCCTACTTAATATATGCTGTTATGATAAAATACCACCATGGAGTAAATATGGACCTAACTGCTGGTTGTTTCTTACTGACATGACATTGGTTCAGAATGGGACGAGATGGGAAAGAACAGACAGATAGACAGACGGACAGATATGGGTAACATTTTAAGTCCCCCTCCCATGTAAAATGGACAGGCATAACAAGTTAAAACTGAAACTAGAGTTAATATTATTATACAGTTGTAATTGCATTGCTCTTCTTTGACACAGAAGTACTAAACTGATGTATGAAATTAAACAGATTCTAAACAGATTAAACTAAATCTGTCCCCGGTTCACATCACTAAATCTGTCCCTGATTCACACCACTAATTCTGTGCCCAGTACCTTGTGAACCTATATCCTGCTTAACATTGCTTCACTGTAATACAAGAAGAGTAAAATATTGTATCTAACATACTACTGTGGAATATTACATTTTCTTGTACAATTAAGATTAAAACTGCCCATACACTTATAATATGACCCCCAACATTAAATTGTTGACCCCTTAAAGTACAGGTATCAAATCAAGAGTTTTAACAGGCCCTCCTGGGGACAGAGCTAATGGGCAGATAACTCTTATCATATTGATGGTGCTGTTATAGGGCCTATAGAACAGAGTACACCCGTTGAGTGTTGAATTCCTAAGGGTCATAAAGTAACCAGAGTAGTTACATACTTATCTCCCCTTATCTATTTAGCTACCTGATCTACCTAAACACAAAATAATTTCCTTTGAGTACACTACAGTATCAATTTCTAGGTTTTTTTCTTCAGCTTCAATTCTACTTCATAAGCAAACTTGTAGAAATAAAATTAACTTTCATAAACTTTGTTTCACTTCTGATCACAGTACATGTTATAATAGTTGTTCATCTGATGGAGTGACTAATTGTCAAGTGTCTCATTATCACCAGATTAAGAGGTGGGAGATCAGTATTTCTATCACATGTATAACATCAAGCAACTGTCAAACTCTGTTTACATATGTAATAAATGACCCCAAAACATATCAAAGAAAAATAAAAGGTGTTTTAGTGGAGAGATGGTGTTTTAAGTGAGTGGAGAGGTAATATTTTGGCATTTTAGTGGAAAGATGGCGTTTTTAGTGGTAAGATGGTGTTTTAGTGGTTAGATGGTGTTTTAGTGGTAAGATGGCGTTTTTAGTGGTAAGATGGTGTTTTAGTGGTTAGATAGTGTTTTAGTGGTAAGATGGCGTTTTAGTGGTTAGATAGTGTTTTAGTGGTAAGATGGCTTTTGAGTGGTAAGATGGTGGTTTTTAGTGGTTAGATAGTGTTTTAGTGGTAAGATGGTGTTTTTAGTGGTTAGATGTTGTTTTAGTGGTAAGATGGCTTTTTAGTGGTAAGATGGCGTTTTAGTGGTTAGATAGTGTTTTAGTGGTAAGATGACTTTTGAGTGGTAAGATGGTGGTTTTTAGTGGTTAGATAGTGTTTTAGTGGTAAGATGGTGTTTTTAGGGGGGTAAGATGGTGTTTTCGTGGTAAGATATTATTTTCGTGGTAAGATGGTGTTTAGTGGTAAGATGGTGTTTTTAGTGGTAAGGTGGTGTTTTAGTGGTAAGATGGTATTTTAGTGGTGAGGTTGTATTTCTCATTTCATTAGTGAAATAGTGGTCCTACAATAAGACATTGTTTAAGTAAGTATAAGAATTTGAATTACTAAATATATCGCAAGAAAATTGATTCCCATCCACACAGTCTTAAATGTTAATGTTGTCTTGACAAAAATACAAATAAATGTAACACAAAGACGAACGAAAATGGCTGTTCCTAGCCCTCAAGACAAAGGGCATTTTTCGCTACATAAATGGTCCTCCCAGATAATGGGCCATGATTCGCTACATAAATGGTCCTCCCAGACAACAGGCCATGATTCGCTACATAAATGGTCCTCCCAGACAATGGGCCAAGATAAGCAACATCCTTGCACCTTCCTGACAGTGTACTCACCAATGGTTGATACATAACTACCCAAAGCCTCCATAGGCTGGTGGATTACATTGTCAAAAGAGCCACTTTCATGTGCATAAAATTTGTTACCAATCTTGTTATTGTTCGGACCACATTCTTTCCATATTAGATAAAACATTGTTATTTCATGTAAAAGCTGCTATATCAGTAGTAGAATCAAACAACTGGCCCCTGAAGTTATACAATAGTTAGTATCACCATGGCAATCGTAATCACTCGGACAGTGTGGTGTAGGTATCTGTAAAGAAATCACTACTGGATCCTTATAGTTCCGAGAATTTACATAATGACCTGCTCTTCACTTCTAGTATCTATAAACCAATCTCACATGTCATACCAAACAAAAATAGCCCTCGGTCAGTGACTTTCTCCGACATCAAACAAATCTATGGCTCCGTTATGACCAGAGTCAATGTTTTCTAAGAGTGCTACAGACAGCGAAAAGTACACATGCACTAAATACTCTGATATATTTGTAATCAAACTTTCATTTATATTTCATCATCTCTATCATCTTTAGGCCTCCAAACACAGGCAGTGGAATGCTGCTGTGAATGTTTAGTCAATGGTCAGGATTTCATTCCCTGTATCATTCCTCTAACTTGAAATATTGTGTACCAAACTAAGTGGACAACTCCACAACAACCAGTGTAAACAGTTCTACTGGACAACTCCACAACAACCAGTGTAAACAGTACTACTGGACAACACAACAATGTACCAGTGTAAACAGTACTACAGGACAACTCCACAACAACCAGTGTAAACAGTACTACTGGACAACTCCACAACAACTAGTGTAAACAGTATTACTGGACAACTCCACAACAACTAGTATAAACAGTACTACTGGACAACTCCACAACAACTAGTGTAAACAGTACTATTGGACAACTCCACAACAACTAGTGTAAACAGTACTACTGGACATCACAACAACCAGTGTAAACAGTATTACTGGACAACTCCACAACAACTAGTGTAAACAGTACTACTGGACAACACAACAATGTACCAGTGTAAACAGTACTACTGGACAACACCACAACAACCAGTGTAAACAGTACTACTGGACAACTCCACAACAACTAGTGTAAACAGTATTACTGGACAACTCCACAACAACTAGTGTAAACAGTACTACTGGACAACTCCACAACAACTAGTGTAAACAGTACTATTGGACAACTCCACAACAACTAGTGTAAACAGTACTACTGGACATCACAACAACCAGTGTAAACAGTATTACTGGACAACTCCACAACAACTAGTGTAAACAGTACTACTGGACAACACAACAATGTACCAGTGTAAACAGTACTACTGGACAACACCACAACAACCAGTGTAAACAGTACTACTGGACAACTCCACAACAACCAGTGTAAACAGTATACTGGACAACTCCACAACAACCAGTATAAACAGTACTACTGGACAACACAACAATGTACCAGTGTAAACAGTACTACTGGACAATGCACCAGTGTAAACAGCACTGCTGGACAACTACACAACAACCAGTGTAAACAGTTCTACTGGACAACTCCACAACAACCAGTGTAAACAGTACTACTGGACAACTCCACAACAACCAGTGTAAACAGTTCTACTGGACAACTCCACAACAACCAGTGTAAACAGTTCTACTGGACAACTCCACAACAACCAGTGTAAACAGTACTACTGGACAACACAACAATGTACCAGTGTAAACAGTATTACTGGACAACTCCACAACAACCAGTGTAAACAGTACTACTGGACAACTCCACAACAACCAGTGTAAACAGTTCTACTGGACAACTCCACAACAACCAGTGTAATCA